GCCTCCTACATCGACTTCCACCACGAAATGTTCCCCTCTAGGACCTTTCCTTAGTGCCACCCAAGACTCACGAGGGTCCTTGTTCGACCACTCACTCTCTAAGTCTTCTAAGGCTTCAGACACATCTAACGTACAAAGCATAGTTTGGACTAGTTGTGTCTGCGGGGTGACTAAGGGGTCATTAGCCTTGGCCTTGTCATGAAGTGGGGAGGGTATCAATCCCACTTCATCTTGAGTCGAAGCGGCTAATACTTCCACTGGCCCTACGCGTTTCCCGAGCTAGAAGCGTGGGAGTAGGTTGGCCCCATCTTTGAAGCTACCTTCTGCGTAACCTTAGCGTTCTGGCACTTGTATTGCGAGTGTCCGTACTCCCCGCAGTTGATACAAGCACCACGCGTTCGGCGGTCACGCCACACGTCTTGATCAAGACCTGCCTTTACCCACTCAACCTGCTTAGTCTGATTGGAGGCGGTCTTCCCTTGACCCCTAGGCTGGCCCTTCCCTCGGCCTACCGCCTTAGTCTTAACTACCACGGCGAGGGTGCTACCCTCAACTACCTCCTCGCCGTCATACTCTGAGTAGTCCATCAGGTCAGAGAGCTCATCGATCTCAGTTTGAGTCCCATCAGACTCAACCATCATCAACTTCGCCCCCTTCTTCTTCCACTCCTGAGGACTCTTCTTCTTTGAATCATTCCCTGAGGTGGGTTGAGCATTGCCTAGCGTGGCCTCTAAGTCTAAGGCTTTCCGAGACAGTGTCTCAAACGAGTGGTACTCAGTGCGTGCCTCGCTGGCTAGCAAGTTCCTAATGTTCTCTGGGAGACATCTCACAAACGTAGTCAATAGGAACTGATCGCTATAGTTGATGCCTGGGACGAGGATCAAGCTCTCAACGGTAGTCGTAAGCTCTCTAACTGACCCGAACTTGCGTTGGTCTAGTTTGTTAATGGCATCAGTGGCCTTTTGAGCCTCCTGTGGGTTATGCCATCGAGCTTCTACCATTTCCATGAACTGGTCTAACGTCAGAGACTTAGCCCAGTCCGCCATGCGTCTCCCATACCCGGCCTTTATAACTACACCATCTAACCACTTGGCTGCCTTACCCTCCAGATAAGATGCCGTAGTTACCACTTCGTCCTCTAGCAAGGTTCTCTTGGCCTTCACCCAACCGGGACTGTTCTCAACCAAGTGTTGAGTTCTTCGCCCTTTCCTTTGCCTGAGAAGGCAAGAGGTGGTTTCATTGGGGTCTTAGGATACCATTGACCCTGCGGCTGTCCAGATTGCTGAACAGATTGTTGCGGTGGTGTAGCTCCCACCGCTGGACCCGAAGAAGAAGACGCAACAGTCTGTGAGACTGCTGCAGACGTACCACTTGGCTGTGTACCAGCTTGAACTGGAAAGGGGCCTGACATCGTCGATAACGGCAACGGCGATTGTGCTGGTGGCCGGAATCCTGGCTTTGTCAACGCATTCAAGATCTGGTCTAGAGTGCTCTGCATGAAGTTTAATTTGCTGTCCACGTGTGCGTGCAATGACAGCATATTCTTCTTCAATACTTTGAGCGGGTCAGTCAATGCTGACTCATCCAATCCCTCTAACTCAGCCTTGTCAGCCTCTAAAGATTCAAGCCTGGCTGCTCTAGTTTTCATCGCATTTTCTCTATCGGTAGCTTCTTTCAGGTCCTGCTCTAACTCACGGCGGAGCATCTCGACCTGCTGGATCTCTCTGAGCTCCCTCTGACGCGGGGTCAACGGGCTGAACTGCGAGCCCGCCATTTGACTAGAAGACTTTCTAGAACCTGTGGAACGGGAAGTGCCCGAGGAGCTTGTGGAACTCGTTGGCATTCCTAACCGGCCCCCATTAGTCCCTGACGAGGACGCAGATGATGACGCAGCAGAGTTTGCGCCATTAGCCATCGCTGCTGCTCTGGCTGTTGTTGCCTGCTCTCTAGCTGCTGCGTTCGCTGCTGCTATCCCCGCTGCTAGCGCATGGGCTCTACGTAGCCGTCTTTCTTCTCCCGGATTTAAGGCCTGGAACACGTGCGGTACCCTTAATGCCCCTGCACGTGTTAGTCTCCTAATGTCAGCTCTATCATCAACAGGGCCTGACCCACTCATTAGTTAGGCAGATAGTATCTGCACTAGAATCCCCTAATGGAATCCTACCGCAGCATGTATCTGACCGGCACGTAATTTTCTATAAATAGTTGTGTCCGGCGAGTTCCCTACTATACCGAATCAAGTGGCATGTCTACAACATTCATACAGATTGTCTACATAGTCTAGATGCACCCTGATTGGTTCACTTACAGCAGCATTAGTTAGAACTGGCTATGACAGCATACAACAGTCCTACACTAATCTGTTTGTGAGGTTATCAGTCCGTCAACCAACTAATCAAAGGTACAAAAAGACAATGTAGCAGATGTATGATTGATGGGTATAGTTGTGTACACAGTTGAGCTCCAATTGGAACCTACCCTCCCCTCAATCCAACATACCGAACAGCATCTTGAGCAAAGCAGTGTTTTCGTGTGTGTATCGGCCCAGCCCTGTGCCCAAGTCAGAGCCAAGTAAGCCAGCCAGCCCACTCTTATTTACCCTCGTACGAAAACGAGCCTTACACCCGGATGATCTGGCTGATCAGGAGGATTATTAAGAGCGCCCCCATCTCTTCAGGAATTCTTTAACGTCGCAGTCAGGACGACGATCACAGCCAGAATCATACCGAGTACCCAACCAGAAATGTTTATAGACGATCTGGTAAGCGTCTCATACAAGGCTGCCACTCTTGGCAAGACTTCTATCTGAGCGCAGCAAGTGCCAAACAGACAGCAGCCATCGCATGCGTGCACTACTCCCTGTGGGTTGGCATGGTGACCGTGACCCAGTGCTTCGACCAGGGCCCACCCTTTCTCCTTCCAGATGCTTCCGGGAAGATTGTCGTCTCTCAAGGTAGCGCGCTCACGACACCTCACCAAGGAGAGGACTCTCAAGTTGGACTCACTTCCTCACGGTAAGAAGAGATTAAGAAGGTAGATAAGGTAAGGGATCAACATACCTGAAGATAGCTGCCCCCAACCACAGATTTTCTCACCAATTGAGCTGATGTTGCATGATGACCGGTCATGACCTCGGTACCACCCACAACGCAATGCAGTGCCACCTTAGTCCAATGCCACATCAGCATGCTCTCATCATCAATCAAACATTCCGCTGTATCCCACGGCATACACTGCCGTAATAGCCTTCCGGTGCACCCCTCTCTACACAGGGTGTGCACCTAACATGGCCTGACGTCACAAGTACCCACTGCGAAGAAGCATCGTCAACGCACCAAGTCTGTATAACGCCAGCATGCCGAAGGTAAGTGGCGATCAAACCAGCTCTGATACCAAATTGCAAGGAACATGACTATGGACGAAGCACAGAAATCCAGAATGCAAAATCACACTGAAGTCCAAGTAGTCCAAGCCAAAGCAGATAGTACAATGGAACCGAGTAACCATCCAATTGAGAATGATACAGAAGAATCGTGAGTCAATGTCCATGCCCAACAGGGCAACACCAACAGCATAACCCAAATGTAGCTCTCTCTTGCGAATGGCGCCAGGCGCCCTATCTACTCTACAGCCTATCCTACAACTACAGCAATGAAAGCAACCAGACAACTTGACCAGGTACGTGTCCTCTTCCCCACACTCTCCCTTGTTACCCACACAGCGCCCTTCACCTCCGAAGACCACCTTCGCCCTTCACCCTCACTGCACCCTCATGCGGCCCGGCTATGGCCACCAGTGCCCTGGTGCACAGGCAGCGCCCTACCGCCTAGCGCTGGCCTGCCTTGCACCTCTCTTGGCGCAGCGCAGCAGCAGCAGCAGCTCGCATTTGCGCAGCGTGCCGGCATTGCCCGCAATGGCCAAGATCCCTGCCCACTCGCCCTGCTTGCCTATATGCCAGTGCAGCGTGTGGGCGGCCTCCCTTCAGCCTGTGACCGGGGCCCAGAGGCTGAACTCAGCCCGATACAGTTGGGCCCCGGGGCAATACAGTTGCRCCTCTTTCATCAAGGCCTGCGRCCAGATTCAGATAGTGGGCYGATTTCMCTTTGGCATTTTCGGCCTCTATACCCAGCATGCATTGTCGGCCTCACGTTCAAGTGCCCAGGGCCTAACTAACTCAGAGGCCCTGGGCTTTCAGCATTTGCTGAAATCCGAGACTCGGTGCACTCCAACCAACTGGCGTGCTGCAACTGTATGAACTCCACTTCGTGAAATGTTGGCACAGAGGGCTCTTGTGGATTTACTGGCCCGCCTTCACTTAGGGCGGGCACGAGGCTTGCTGGGGCCTTAGCCCAGAACATGTACAACATGGCAAGGCCCCTTCTTGAGGGCTCATTCCTCACACATTGCGGATCCTTGGCTGTACATATATTGCCCAACTGGGCATGTATCACACACATGCCGGAACACACACACATGACAACTTTTCTCAGGGGTATCACTAACTCTGGGCAAGGTGGTGAGTCCTTATCTAACAACAGTCAAATGCATCCTGGGCAGACTGTCTGTCAAGGATCAACCTCCAGACTAGTCGGCGAAAGTCCGATGAAACAGTCTGCCACAGTCATTCTTTTTTTTTTCTTTCTTTTTTCTTAAACCACCACTACCTTTTCCCATGTGGGCTGCTGTGGGGCCAGAGATTCTTTAGGAGGCCAAAATGAAACAACGGCTAGTAGGCTACCGATGAGATTTATTAACAGCGGCCGTCATCGGGCCCAGACTCCGATTTTTTTGGAGTAGGCTATTTTCCCGTTTTCCCAACAGCGGGAAAGGTAGTGGCGCTTTATGCTGTGTGCGCCTCACACGGGGGACAGCTTTTTTAATCCTATGCTATTATCTTCTCTCAATATCGAGATGGATTCACACTAGCTACCCAAAAACTCTGATGTAATGTTGTTCATATATGAGATGGACGCTGAGCGCTATGGGTTTCCAGCTCCCCAAGCCCCACAAGGTTGAGCCAAGTCCCTCCGTCTTTTTTTGAAGTCCCTCTACTCTGTGCGGGGAGTAGTACCCAGGCTCATGACCCCTATTGCAGGATGACAGGACCTGGCACCTATCCTGCCAAGATCAGCCAGGGGGGGGTCAACCACTTATCTCAGCTGGTGATCCTGAAGTGTGCCGCAGGGCGCTGTGGGAAGTCGAATGAATGACTTGGGGAATCGAACCCAGGACCTCCTGAATGCCACTTAGGTGCTCTACCAACCGAGCTAAGCCGCTGGCCCCACCACAGTCATGCTTTTCTTTGGAGGTGTGTATAGCAAACATGAGACACACACACACACACACACACACACACACACACACACACACACACACACACCAGGCAGGAAACACACACACAAACTCTTTTTTACTCCAAAAGAGTCCAAATGCTAAACCAAATAGAGTTGTGATTGTATCATCATGACAAGCCCAAAGGTTGCATGCATAGAGAGAATCTATTCACAAAGGGTTAAGAGGAGTGAAATCAGGTACCGTAACCATTTAAAAAAAGAAGAAGAAGAAGGAAGAAAAGAAGGAGAAAGACAACGATGACGACGGTGATGACGACAAAGAAGAAGAAGAAGAAGAAGAAGAAGAAGAAGAAGAAGAAGAAGAAGAAGAAGAAGAAGAAGAAGAAGAACCAAGAAAGAAACAGCGCCTATGAAACTAAGATCACAGCAGTACATATAGCATACTACAGTTAGTATCAGGGCAGTACATGATGAATGAAATGGGAGTGGTGAAATCTGTGTTCACTAAATGCTACAGAAATTCATGCGTTGATCAATAACCAAATTCGAAATTTCTTCTAAGTTCAATCTGTTGAATAGAACATTGCCGAAGGCAGTCTGTACCCCCTCAATGCCCTCATCTCATCTGAAACCCTGTTTAATATACATTTACAATGTTATACATTATATATACATATACATATATCGTCAAACAGAGCTGCTCGGTAAACTGTAGGCAGAGAGGGAGAAGAGGACAACAAACAAAGGCCCAGGCTGTGACAAACTGTTTCGTTGACGTTCACCGACTTATCAGGAGGCTGAACCCTCAACAGTCAACAGAATCCCCTAACTGATTACTCTGTAAGTGATAATCCACCTTAACCCCGATTGTGGTTAAATATATGAAACCTACTTATTTTCTTGTCACACAGAGAATTAGGTAGATTTGACATATATTATATCTATGACATCGAATTATTAGTCTTATTTGTTTGTACCTCACAGAATATCTTCTGTATGGTCGGCATATACTTTCAGTCCAGGACCTAACCCCGCGACTATATCTATTTACTGTTCCACCCCTCCTCGGCCACAGACACCGCATGCGACGAGAGTTAGCCCCCGTGCACACAGCAAAGCATCTCACATAGACTCTCAGCCACACAGCCAACACAGCAAAACACGACTCTGAAATCAGACCCGCAAATCAGATCCACAAACAGCAATACTCAGAATCTGAGGCGGCAACTGTGCCGGGCATTGCATACATGGCAATCGGTTGCAAGCTTTTTTTTTTTTTTATAATTAATTTGGACCATTTCAGACATTTCTCAATTTATGTGTGTCATCCTTGCGCAGGGGTCATGCTAATTTTCTCAATATCGTTCCAATTTTAACGGATGTCCCGAAGGACATCTGTTGCAAGCTTATCAAGCTAGTGTTCTCATGTATATATGGTATTATATTTCAATAATATTTGTAAATATATCGTCAAGCAGAACTGCCTGGTAAACCGTAGGCAGCACACATGCAAGCGGACACCGTGCGAAAGATTCCTGCACGTTCGGCGCACAAGCGGTCTCCGCACGTTGCGGCGCATGGCATATGCGGCCCACTGCGGAAATATTCACTCAGAAAAAAAAAAGGGGTTGCATGGCTGGGTGAATGGTCACATGCGCCCCATTCGAAAAGAAGAAGTGGAAGTGGGAGAGTAATGCCGCTACCTAAAGGTCAAGAGTCAAGACTGATGTCCCAGACACCTTTTTTTGAGGCTATTTCTCATGCCCAATTGGACGAAAAGAAAAATCCGTACAACTGAACTTGGAAAAGATATGTTCCTTAGGTGGTGCACTCTTCTGAATCTACAAAAACAGCAAAAAAAAAAAAAAAAAAAAAGGGGAACTGCTGCTGGTACGGCGCACGAGCAGGTGTCGCACCGCACGGTACGGCAAACGGTGCAGTTGCAAGTATGGCAGGCACTTTATATGTTTGCATATATTTGAATCATACTTGCAGCGCACGTCGTGCGGGCGGTTCCCTATGTGCGGCGCACGCGCCCAACCGATCCCGTGCGCCGCACGACGTGTGCGGGGAACAACCCGTCACCCCCCTCAGAAAAAAAAAAGGCTGAGGTTGAAACGGTGCGTTTGAGGGCCCCCGCCAAAATTATAAGCGAGATGAAAAAAACATTTACAGGAGTACTGCCTCCCCTTGCTCCTCCTCCCCTTCCTCATCCTCCATGTCTCCTCCTCCCTTCTCCTTTTCGTCTCCTCCGACTCGTCCTCCTCCTCCTGCCCTTCCTCCTCCTCATACTTCCTCATCTTTCATGCCTCCTCATCTCCTTCCCTTCCTCGTGTCCTCCCCTTCCTCGTGTGCTCCCCTTCCTCGCCGTCAATGTCTCCTCCTCCTCCCACTCATCCTCCTCCTCCCACTCGTCCTCCTCCTCCTGCCCTTCCTCTTTTCCCTCCGTCCATCTCTTCTCCTCCCCCATCTCGACGACTCCTCGTCGTCCTCGCTATCCTCATCGTCCTCCTCGTCCACATCCTCCTCCTCCTCTCCATATCCCCCTCTCTTCGCCATATCCCCATCTTCCTGTCATACACCCCCCCGTTCCCCGTCCCAAAAAAAGATAAAATAATAATAATAAAAATGAAAAACCTGCACGATTCCGCATAGGCACCCCCCGTACGGAACTACGCACGAATGTGCTGCTCGTGCGGTTGCAAGTATGATTTGAATATGTTTGTACATATAAAATTATAAATACATACACTTGTATGTACTTGCATGCGTATTGTTGAACATAATTTGTGTATATATATCCTCAAATAGAGCTGCCCTGTAAACC